AAAAATGATCTGAAATTGGTCTGAATTGTGAATAGTACGGGCAAAAACAGATTAAATTCTCATATAAAATAGATACACATAATAAAATTATATAAATTGAATGAAAAATATTAAAAAATTTTATTAATCATAAAACAGACTAAATTTTTTGACCCGGGATAGTTTTTAAAGTTTTTTACATGTGACAATTTTTTTATTAATTATTGTTTAATTGAAATTTTTTCAATAAAAAATTTCGAAATCTCGGCTAACTTAATTTATATATTTTTCAAAAAAAAATATATGTCAATAAAATCAAATAGAAATTTCGTTCAAAAAAATGAAAATTAAAATGATAGACCTCATTTGTAAATAATTACCAAAAATTTGTCTACAAAAAAATTTTTGCTTGAAAAAAATCAAAAAATTGCAATTTCTGCTAATTTTCAACATTACAATCACAATTACGAAATATCGTGAATTTCTAACTTCGATACTTTTGAATAACTGACGTCACATTTTCTGAGATCACCATTTTTTATTTTATTGTGAAAATGAAAAAAGGCATATATTTATATACAATGTGAGTTCCTACAGTAGCCAATGACGTTGCGCTAATAACGACGCCATCCCATGTTACCGGCTGAAACGATTAGTGATTAGTAGTTGTGTATATACACTGTACAGTTGTATATTTTTCAACGTGTCGTGACTTTTTTGATAGACAGTTTTATTGAAATCATTCAATAAAAAGAATTTAATCATGGCTAAATTTGATCTTACATTAAAAATAATTCCATACCTGGATCTACATTTAGGTTTTCCACTCTTGGAGTATATAGATACCAAAAGGGTAAGTTATTTTTTTGCTACCCATGCTGTAGTTGAGGTTATGTCAATAACCTATTAATTAATTTTATTGATTCTTAATTTAAGAAATATTATTATTTCACATTTAATTTTATAAATTTGTTCGCAGATCTATGACGAGAATGAACTGCTTCACGCTAAACTCGGTATTCTCAGCAAAACAAACATGATTGATTATGTTATTGATATTAGGAAGCAGCTGTATCCTGATCAAGAAGTACCAGAGGTAATTTTTATTACAATTAACTTTTTTTTTAGATTAGCTTTCTTTTATAATTATAAAAATAGCAAACATTGCATGTGAAAATTAATTTAGCAGATATTTGATAATTTTTAAAATTGTAACAAAAAAATTATCGAAAAAAAATTTGCATGTAGAAACTTTAAAAATTTTAAATGCAATTTTTTAAACAAATTTTTTTGTTGAAAAAAAATTAAAAAATTGTCAAGTGACAGCTAAATTTAATGTCATAATATTTTTTCATTTTATAAATTTTAAAACATCATTTGCAATAATATTTTTGGAGTGTATTTTTCAAAATTCATGTAGTTTACTTAAAAATTATTAAATTGTCTAATGTTTGCTACTTTGACTGATTTTTTTATCAGTGTTTCAATATAATATTGATACTAGGTAGCAGAAATTAAAAAAAAAATTTTTTTTAAACAATTTTTTGTCTTGAACACAATGCTTCAAAATTTGCATATAAAAGACTGACCCATATTAAAACAGTTTCAAATTCGTTTCTCATTTATAAATTTTACTATTTTATTTAACAGGAACTGAAGATGCGTCGTGCTGAGGTTGTTAAAGAACTTGGAGTTTTACAAAACAACGTTTCCAAAGTAGTCGGGTGGATGAATGACGAAGAAGTTATGAAAAAAATGGAAGAAATGCGTGACTCCAAAGCGCTTAACAATTATTTGGTTCAAGATTTAGAAGTAAGTAAATAAATATATTGTATCAAGTACTCTTAAATTTTGATAAATGGAAAAAAAGTACTAATAACAATTTATTTAATCTAGTTTAAAATTGAAATGATGGACGAACTCGTGAAACTAGCCAAGTACCGTTATGAATGCGGTAATTATTCTATTTCCACTTCGTATTTGTATTTCTACTTGTTGATCATGCCGCCAACTGACAAGGTAATTAAAAAAATTTTTAACACTTAATAATTACCATTATTAATTGCTTAAAATTATTATTATTAATTCTTATTGATTTTTTCTGTTTAGAATTACTTGAAAGTTTTATGGGGTAAACTATCGTCGGAAATTCTTACTCAGAACTGGGATGCTGCATTAGAAGACGTTTATAAATTACGTGAATTCATTGACAACAGCGCTTTGGGTAGTCCTGCTCACATTCTTCAGCAGCGCACGTGGTTAATTCACTGGAGCTTATTTGTTTTCTTTAACCATGTTAAGGGACGTGACGCACTTATTGAACTGTTTCTATATCGCCTTAAGTAAGTATTTTACAGATCATGTTCATTTATTTAAAAATAATTATTTAATTTAAATTAAAATAAATTTGGAAAATCCAAAAGTGTACGACTCATAATGCTCATTTAATTATGAAATAATAATAAAATCAAACGAATGTGAAAGAAAATATTAAACAGCTGAAATAGGATGATAATGTGTACGCGCGTAGTGGGATAAATGTACTCAATATATATAGATATACAGTCTTTTGGCTTTTCTTTCAATTTTATTAATTACAAATAAACGACTCTAAGTTATCTAGTCATTCGCATTCGGTGACCTACAATTCTTTCAAAGAATTAAAAAAAAAAAAAAGACGCCATTCGGCCACTCCTATTTTAATCATTTTGAAGAGCTACTATTTCTGAACTAATCGAAGGATTTCGCTCATTTTAAGGCTCATGCAAGCTAATTGTCAAAGGAATTTGTATACTAAATTTCATTGGGATCTGTTACGAATTCTCGACAGAATAACATTCATAAGTCGGCTGCACTACACATTGCCTGAAAATGGTTCAGTCGAACTCTTAACTTTGATAAAATAACTAAAAATGGTCAAAATGTCAATGTTATATATGTCAAATTAAAGGCAATTTCATGAGCTTTTACATGAATTCATCAAAAATTAGCCATCTCTTTTCAACCAAAAGTTACACATTAATGAAGTCACCAAAAACGTGATTTTCACTATTTTGATAATTTTGAAGAGCTGCCATTTCTAAACTTATCGGTGGATTTCGCTCATCTTCGAACTCATTCAAGGTTATTATCCAAAGAATATGTGTAACAAATTTCATCTAGATCCGTCAAGAACTGTAGACACAATCGCAGCAACATCCCGCGTTATATTACATACATATATAAATTTTTTAACTAACGTTATTTTTGAGCTTTACTCGACTAGTTAATTGATATTACAACAAAATTCCGAGTAAATTCCGACATGAGGACCAATGCAAAAGATTAATTTCTATGAAATCTACCTAAAAATTTGACTCAATGAATGATTTTTTTCACAAGTTACAGTGTTTTCAGGGTTTCATACATGACGAACAGAAAATTTTTTTTAATTATTTTGATGTTTTTTTCGTTTCTATTGCACTTAATAAATTTTTGAAAAGTATGGAGTTAATCTTTATTAAATAATTTTGACAATAGTATGCAAACTATCTTGATTCCGTGAACTAACAAGGATATAATAATAATAATAATAGTAGCCGAAATGAGGCGAAAAAAATTTTTCGATCGTAAAGCACTCTCTGATGCTTCGCATCAAGAGTCATGCAAAAAAATAAAATCACACTTTTGTAGTTAGCCGAACTAAAACATAGAAAATAAATTTAAATTAAGAATAGTCTAAAAAACTTGAAAAAATATAAATTAATAATAGTAAATAAGAAAAAAAGGTATTTTATTTAAAAAAAAGCGTGGGGTGCTTTTTAAGCTATTTTCGAAATGAAAATCCTTCTACTCATATCTGTCAATAAAATATTTATAACTATTGATACCATGTTTTCTTATTTACACTATTCTTAATTCAAATTTATTTTCTATTTTTTAGTTTGGTTTTCTGTAAAAAGCGTATTTTTTAATTTTTTAAACTATTATTTATTTAAAAAATAATTATTCAATGTAATTAATTAATTTTTTCAGTTACTTGAATGCCATTCAAACGACTTGTCCCCACATTCTTCGTTACTTGGCAGCTGCAGTTATCGTAAATCGTTCTAAGAGATCAACTCTGAAAGATCTTATCAAAGTAATTCAACAAGAATCTTATACCTACCGTGATCCAATTACTGAATTTTTGGAACATTTGTATGTGAATTTTGACTTTGAAGGAGCGCGTCTTAAACTACAAGAGTGTCAGACAGTTATTCTCAATGACTTTTTCCTAGTTGCTTTGTTAAATGAATTTGTAGAAAATGCAAGGCTGATGATTTTTGAAACTTTCTGTCGTATTCATCAGTGCATCAGCATCAGGTTTGTATTTTTATTTATTTATTCAATTGTTCACCGTCGTCAGTTTCATTTAATCATGAATAATTATTTATTTCAGTATGCTCGCTGAGAAACTTGACATGAAACCAGATGTAGCGGAATGTTGGATTGTTAACTTGATTCGTAACGCCCGACTAGACGCTAAAATTGACAGCAAACTGGGACATGTTATTATGGGTGTCGAGCCAGTGTCTCCATATCAACAAATAATTGAGAAAATAGAAACCTTGAGCGTACGAAGCGAAGCATTGGAAAACCTTATTGAACGTAAATTAAAAGTTAAAAGCCAAGATCGTGGCGGTATTGTTTGGAATTAATTTTCTTATAATATTAGATAAAACTTTCAATTAAATAAAAACATTGATTTTTTCATCTAAAATAATTCCATTTTTTTTTTTTAATTGACTTTCATTGCCTTTTGTGGATTATGTTATTTGATAATTCTTGAAGTTATTCATATAGAATTTTTTAAACATTTTAGTGAAAATAAAGTGCATTTTTACTAAAATGTTAGACTTGATTTTTAAGTCGTTCAGTGACATAAATTCATCAATTATCAAATAAATTTAAGTCAGAATATATACGGGATATAGTTAAACGGAAAATAAAATTGATTGCTGTGCAATAGAAAAAAAAATAATGTAAATTTTTGTTCATATTTACAAATGTATAAAAAGAATAGATAACTATTTCTATTTTTACTAAAATAAGTGCTTTTGTACAGGTGTAAATGTATTGATGAATAAATTTATTACTTATAATTTAATTTATAATTATTTCAACCTCTAGAGTCATGGCTAATTTTAAAAACTAATATTACATTTTTTTAATTGATGTTTTTCAAAAAATGAAAAATTTTTTCAAGAAAGGAAAAAATTTAATAATTATGGATACTTAATTTCAATTTACAAAGAATGTCGAAAAATTTCGACTAGTAATTTTTGATAAGATGAAGCTTCTTGAAAATGATCTGAAAATTTTGAGTTTTTTTATGCTTCAATTTTATTCATAAAGTTTTTTGGTAAGAAAAGTAAAAGATCAAAAGATAATCGATTAATTACTTTCAATCCACTTTTGCAATTGTCGGAATCTTCAAACGAAATAACCGCATGAAAAACGTCAAGGATTATACTAATTTTTCTTCATTTTTTCTAGGTCATAAATCATAAATAAATTCTCTAGATAAATAGAGAGATAAGATTTTTTACGAAAGAATCAGTTATACTCTTCAACTAAAAATAAACAAGTCGATATTTCAGTGATCGATTGATTAGAAGTGGTTTTTCATAGTCAAAGGGTGACTAAGAAATAATTTATTTACTGAAATCCAAAAATTTTAGCCTAAATAAAAAACCGATAACAAAAATCAAGATAATTAATCACTATTCCCAGAATTTTGAGTTGGATCCATTTAAATAGACTATTATGTATCAGGTATGAAATTTTTTTTTTTTTTATTAATGATTAGATATTAAAGGAAACTTTAAATTTGTAAGAATAAAAAATTAGTCATATTACACTGAAATTGTCTTATTTTAGCTAGCTCAACAGATTTTAAAACTTCAATTTTCAATTCAATTCATATTTAAATTGAATTATTCTACATAAACTTAGTTTTTTCTTATATTAAATCTAATTTCTGAAAAATACAAGTTACAACTTTCAGTTTAAAAATATTGCCATTAAACATTAATTTGACATTATGTTCACATCTAAAATCAAAAAATACATGAGAGTGATAAAAGGTAATTTCATCAAGGATTAATTAATTATGTAATTTTTATTTCAAGATGGTTTTAATATCTTATTTAGTATTTATCAATTTCTAAAAAATACATATTAATTAAGAACAGATTATTCTTCAAAAACATATAATATATATAATAGGGTGCGTCAAAATTTAATCTCTGAAAACAACCTTTTAAAATTGGAATTTTGCGTTCAACTTTTAACAGGAACTGGGTTTGGGTATTTCCTAAGATATTTTGGTGTGTCACAATTTATTTGATATTCACATAATTTTTTAACAGGAGCTTTGTTTAAGCATTATTGCTGAAATTTCAAAATTTCAAAATTTGGCTAAACGAAGTTCCTGTTAAAAATTTTTATGAATATCAAATAAATCGTGACACACCAAAATATATTAGGAAATGCCCAAACACAGCTCCTGTTGAAAGCGGAACTCAAAATTCTAATTTTAAAAGGTTACTTTCGGAGATTAAATTTTGACGCACCCTAATATATAAGGTCACAAAATTATTAAACCAATTTATCATAAAAAACTATATGACAGTAGGTAAAAAATATTATGTATGTTGAGATAGAAAAATGCTGGTGATCATCCGTGCAAAAAAAATTCTGATTCAAAATGAATTTAAGAATAAAATTCATATTTTGACACAAATATGAATTAGTTCTGAGATCAATCCAAATTTGAAATTGATTTGTAGATATAAATTAGCACGCCTGTAGAACTTTCGATCCTGGTTCAGAATTTTAATAAAGACAAGAATATTTAGGATAAATTTTATATATAAAATATTCTCAAGTCTTTATTAAAATTCTGAAGCAGGATCGAAAGTATTACAGGCGTGCTAATTTCTATCTACAAATCAATTTCAAATTTGGAGAACTTTCGATCCTGGTTCAGAATTTTAATAAAGACAAGAATATTTAGGATAAATTTTATATATAAAATATTCTCAAGTCTTTATTAAAATTCTGAAGCAGGATCGAAAGTATTACAGGCGTGCTAATTTCTATCTACAAATCAATTTCAAATTTGGATTGATCTCAAAATTAATTCATATTTGTGTCAAAATATGAAATTCAATCTTAAATTCATTTTGAATCAGAATTTTTTTTTTTATTGCAATAATCCAACATAACAATTAATAAATGTTCGAAGTCTACATCTAGCCAAAAGTAATTCGAGTAAAATAAACAAATAAGTAGACCCTCAAACATGAAACATTAATGTGTTCAAACTGTGAGATTTTTCCAAATGCAGAAATCCCGGCAAGTCTTGGGGTTTTGACATATAGGGTCAGCCCTTCTTTTCTAAAATTTTTTTTTTTATTTTTGAATTTATGTACAAAAATCACTCGCGCAAATATTTTAATCACATCACCTCAGTATATCTGAATCAATTAAATCAGGTAATGTATTGAATATAATTCGGCACCAATGAATTTTCCAGTTAGATAAATATTTAAATTATAAGCTGCTTAAAAGTGTAAGAGTGGAAATTTATTTATTCAAAAGCTGCATCGATTAGATGATAACCCGTTTTTCATAGTATATATACAGAAACTCCATTATCGAAATTTCGTCGTATATTTATTATTTTATGCATGCACGCGCATTGTACAGATGCGGGTGTGTGCGTTCGTGCCTGCAAATAACTTTATTGCTTATATCTTCTCCGATAAAATTGATGGATAAGGCATTATTTAAGACATTAAAAAAAGTTTATTGAGGCTAAGCTCGGATGAAAGTTTTTGATCAATAAATCCGGTAATTACTGAGTTATTTTATGGACTTCCACAAGATGAAACTCAAGTGTGAACTGAAATAGTGAGATCATAAAAATAATCGACTAAAAAAAAAAACAAAAAGGATTACCATTAAATAGTTTTGTTCTAATAGGTTCGTCAATTCGAATGAGTTTTACGACACAATTAAAAGCGTTGAAATTGTCAGGTATTGCAATTTAAAAACCATGAGATTTAAACTTGTTTTACTGTATGTCTGCTAGTTTTTATGAGGCCCTTTTCTGTTATAAATATTATCTTTATGAGATGGCTGTCTTTGCTATGCCACATTATACATTTTATTAAATCAGGGTCGCAAGAATTTTTAACTTTCCGTGTGGAAAATGAAAAATTTTTAAAAATAGGAAGTTACAGATTTCGGTCCGATTGTTAGAAAGCGAGTTTTCATCAGATCTTGACATGTTTTGAGGTCCTAAGAAATCGTTCTGATTATTTTACGGCTGGACGTCCGGCTGTGTGCGTGTATGTAAATAAAATTTTTTCGTACGATATTTTTAGAATGAATCAACAGATCTAGATAATTGACATGGCATTCGAAAGTGTTCATTGTAATTTCGATCTGATTAGATTTTGAAGTTAATTGGTTGAGCCGATTCAAAGATATTCAAAAAATAAAAAAACAAAAAAATCTAGAAATCGGTTGATCACGCAGGCCTACCCTAGAACTTCTCGCTGTTTGAATTTTAAGTACCTTTAAGAGGGAATACCACTGTGACGATCGAAAAGAAGAGGTAATTTTCGGGAATTTTTTTGACAGGGAAAATAAAGGAATTTGGAGATCGGATTTTTTTCATTTTATTAAGGGTACATTAAAGATTATTACCCTAAATTTTTATTAAAAAATATTTAATTTTTACAAAGTTATTAACAATCTCGTAGAGCACTGGAAAAAATTTTCCCCTCCATGGTCGGTTCAATAACTCAAAAACGGATTATCTGAAAATAAAAACCCAAATTGCTTTTTAATCAGTAAGAATGTAGTTATGGTCGCACGTACGGAATTTTGAAAATTTTAATTTTTAAAAAAAACGGCGACTGATTGAAAATTTTCTAACTATTCTTGATGTTTTTTTTTTGTTTTATCCCGGCTAAAAAAATTTTTAAAATTTTCAAGCTCAAAGCACAGTTTTCACCAGATCTACAATTGAAATTAGCGGGAAGTTACAGGGATGGCTTGTAGGTCAACTGTTTTATTATTTTTTAGCTTTTTAATTTTTCCAACTATTAGCTTTAATATGTAAATCTCTTTTGTGACAATAATAAAGAGAATTATCTACAAGCATAAGCTACTTAGTCATAACTTATTTTTGTTTTAGCTCCAAAAACATGTTGTTGTATTATGAAATCTAATGTTCAAGAATTCACATATTTATGAGTTAATTATACACTAATAGCTTACTAAATTTTCTTAAACCGACGACCTTCGTAACTGACTTACAATGTTAAAAATATTTAAGTAAAAACTTATACATCACAAGGTTTTTCCAAGATAATAAAAGTATACTAAATAGAAAATTTACCAAAGCGTTACACGTATCTTTGTTTGTTTGTTTATATTTATTAAAAAGTGACATCCACGAATTACTACATGTAGTATGAGTCAATTTCGTTATGTTGGATAATTTGGGAGTTACTATGAAATGACGCGTAATTACTCTGAAATTCTGTGGGATGTGCCAAAAGTCTTCGGCACAATACAATGAGATACAAAGGGTTTGAATATTGGAAAATAATTGGTGACAATATTTTAGAACATAAGTACA